ACGTCGTCTATTTTCCAAGTGCTTGGGATATAAATTGCTGGATTACAGGCCTCTTTGCAGACAGTTTCTTAGGCAGCCTCCTCTTCCAGGCACCCTCCTCTCTTTCGTCGGACGCGGGGGGACCTCGTCCAGCCGCTGCCTGACCGTAGGGACCGTATGCCCCTCCTCTGATTTGCTTGCATGCCCACTCTGCGCAGGACGTAAAGGCACATATAGACACACGTGCATGACAAGCAGTGGGGGATCAATCCAGCCCAGGACTTTTTGCCCGGGAGTGATACTTTTGCTGCTTCATAAATCACAGCCAGCCCTAAGAGCACACACACCTGTTCCCTTGGGTGGTGGCTATCTCCGTACCTGGCATGCACAGAAGTTATTTGGTCTGATATCCTGTCCAGGGTCCTTAACACGCGTGTGATGGCTGCTGACGAGTCAGCTTGTGACCTTCTTTTCTGTGAAATCCAGTACTTAAAAGCATTTAGCTTGGAAGAAGATACCTGTTTGCAGATTGAAGAAAGGGGGGCTGAGAGGGGGAAAGGGAAGGGAGCGCCGTGTTATGTTTCATCGGCCTAACAGTGACCTACAAAATGTGCTGGTGAGCACAGAAAACGCGTGCGCTAATGAGGGCTGCCCGGCTTCTTTCCACTGCTTTTGATATTTGATTATGGGGGGTTAAGGCAGGGGAGAGGGAGCACAAACCTGCGGCCTGGCCCTCCCCTGGCTCCCGGTGCCCATTTTCCTGGGACAGGCTCCTTGCTGGAGGGTGTGTGAAAAGTTCAGAAGGTAAAAAGCGAAATAAACACATAGATATTATGAAAAGAAATCAGATTGGGAGCCTGAGCCATGATTTTAACATATTGAGGTTTGGTGATATTCATACATGGTTGTTTTCTGGTTATCAGCAAATAAGCAGCATAACTGGCTTTCTGGACAGCTCTGGATTAGGAATTTTATTGAGTATTTAGTCACACCCACTGACTGACAGCTCGGGCACATGGGAGTTTCAAAGCCTCCACAAATGCAATGAATAATTTGGACTGTTGAAACAAAATCTATTTTTATGGGCTGGTCAAATGATCTCTTGGTTATGAGTTTTTCCACAGCAGGGATATCTGAGCTTACCTAGGGGGCCGGCCTTTAGCTCATGGAAACCCTCTGCAACAAACCTTGTGTTGGAAAATATAGCATTTATAAGAGAATTCTAAATTAAAATTTGTTACTACATATAAAATAATAAAAAAAGAAACAAAAAAAAATTCAGACTTTTACATATATATATAAGCAGACTCTTGTCAGGCTTGAAAGTAAGAGCCTTTCTGCATCATGTCACTCTTTTAAGCTAATATATTAACATTCAGATTTCCTGTCCTAATCTAATCCTATATTTTCTATACTAAATACTAATACTAGGTACTAAATAGAATCCTGTATTTTGACTCTTCGGTCACACAGTATAGGAAAAAATTTAATCAATCAGAACCTTGATTTTCTCGGCTAAACTAAATCATGGAAACTTGCTTAAAATATTGGAAAAGGACAATTTGGGACTGTGATTCTTGAAGAACTAGGCCAACATACTAAATGTAAAAAAATTAGAAATATGATGTCTACTATTATTTTATGACTTACTTTTCTCCTTTAGACACTGCTACTGTATTCATGAAATCTGAAGCTTTTCAAGACCTAAAGATTAATGCTCTTAATCCCATACTAGTACTTAAAATTTCTTTCAAGTGAAGTTTTTTTCCAAAACCTTCCATTTTGAGGCAGACATCCTGTAGTGATGGGGAGACTTTTACTTGTTTATCAGGAGTGAAATCAGTACACAAGTTCAGATGACATTTTTAGCTGTGAATTTGCTGTGGAGGCTCTTCTCTGTTAGCAGGGACAAGGTGTGGTGGAACAGTTTGTGTTTCATAACCTCAGTTTCGCAGGCCTCATATCACTGCAGCCTATAAAAGAGAGCTGACCCATCATGAAACTGTTAGAAACGAACCATAAAGGATGGTAGGAAATGATAACTTCTAAGAAAGTGTTCATGCCAAGTATTTCTATTACTACAGAAGGTATTCCTCACATGTGGTTTATAGAAAAAAATAATAATTTATAAATAAAGGACATATTCTGTATCAAATTAGGTTCTTGCTAACATATGATATGGATTATTCTTTTATACATGTAGTATTTGTATTGTTCAGTATTTGGGCTGTTTTTCCTCAAATTAAACTGCCAGCATTTCACACAGAACAGAAAAAGCCAGGTCCACAGCCAAAATTTTGGAGGTGTCAAAGGCAGGGTAATGAGGCTCAGCTGAAAGCTATAATTGCTCTTTGCTTAGCCTTTAAGATAAAGAGCAACAGCCTTTCTTCAGGTTTCTTCTTTCTGCTCTCTCCTCAGCTGTTGTTAGAGGTAAGGCACTGGGGGCATTTGCACTTGGGAGTATCCAGTGGGATTGAAAAGCAGAAAACAGAGGAAAAAGTATTGAGCTGGTTGCTCTTTAGCTGGTGGTTAGGGGGATAAAATTGCAAACAAACAAAAACAGTGGTTGGGAAATAGAGGTAGAAAAACACTAAGCAGGGTAGTAGGTTGTAGCAGGACGTGGGGTATTTGTGCCCGAAGCAAATGCTGCAGCCTGGGTCCCTGTTGGATGCATTTGATTTACAGACTGATTAAAACCCTTTGAGGCTGATAGAAGTGGCTATTGGGTGAGCTTAAGCCAGGGTCTAAGCCTTCTAGTGCTTCATGCCCCACAGGGCAAGGTTGTGTTGAAGGCTGTTCTCTCTTTGTTCTTGTTTCTGATGTATCCTTGAGAGGTGCAATGAAAGGGGGAATTTGTTGAATGCTCTTGAGTCTGACCCTGATCCTCTGGCATCCCAGTTAACTGCTCACATGATGAGGTTATTTGTAAACGTTAAATCTTTGCAGGGTTATGACCTGAAGGAGCATTAGACCCAGCAACTTCTGAGGTCTGCCCTAGATCTGGTGACCAGCGTGTAGGAGCTGGGCTGGGGGGACTGAGGGGCTGGTGGTGCTCACAGAGGACGGGGCTCTCCGGGACGTGCATCTCCATGTCGCCGGAGCGCGGGGTGCTGTCGTGCATGCTCCGGGTTGCTCCCTGTGCCTGCCCCAGCGCAGCTCCGACGGCTCACAGTGGCTCCAGTAGCCCTCCTTTTATTTATGTATACATAAGCCAAATGCTTAGCAGCATAAATATTTCCTCTGTGTGGCTATACACACAGAGATATATTTACTTATATAATGTGTGAGGCTATGCTGGAGAGAAATGCGATGCTTTAGCAGCGTGTGCTGGGGCTCGCTCTGAGGCTGAGCCCTCCCAGCTACCATTACTTCTTACAGCACTTCAGGAGCTTATAGGCTCTTGAGGCCTATCGGGCTTTTGTCAAAAATCAAAGTGGGAAAGGTTGCAACCCTCTTCCTAGGGTGACACAGAGTTGTTTCCCAGTCTTCCCCTTTCCCCCTTTTGTCCATAGCTCTCTGTTTGCTGTGCCTCCTCCCCGAGAGGTGCTGGCTTCCCCTCGCCTCACCGGGTGCAGGGAAGGGGAAAAGATGTGGGGAGAGACCTGGTGCTTTTCCCTAAGCAGCCTGGGCTGCAGGGAAGGGGAAAAGATGTGGGGAGAGACCTGGTGCTTTTCCCTCAGCAGCCTGGGCTTCCCTTTGTGCCTGTGAGTTCTTGTTGAAATCTCACCCAGGTGGCTGGAGAATGGAGAATGACTTTTGTCGAGGCGAGCCCTTTTTTTCCCCCTGGGTGTAAGAAAGTTGCCACTGAGCAGCAAGGCTGGCAGCCCAGTTAGTGGGCAGCGGGTTAGGCTGGGAGCCTTTAGCTACTCAGTGGAGGTGTTTGTTCCTTCCCTTGTGTGGTCTGCAGTTTACACCAGGACTGCAGCAGTATGTTGTCTTGCTTCCTATGAGGATAATCTTGCTGTATGGTGGTGCATGGTTGCTCCATCCAAGGAGTTGTGGACCTACCACACCTACACAAGCACTTGATGGTTTTGCTTTTTGCTGTTGTGCAAGATGTCCTATCACTTGTGTTTTGTGGAGAGGAAGCTGAGGGCCTGCAGAGTAATTACACCATGTGGAAAACTTGTTGCAGCCAAAATACAGGCTCCCTTGCCAATCCGAATGTCTCACTTCAGACTATTTCCTCTCTCATTATCTGACATCACCATGAACAAATTGATATTAAACAGTATAAAATCATCATCATTACACAATACCTTTCATCTTAGGATTTCAAAGTACTTTACAATCATTAATCTGTACTACTTAACCCAGTAATCACATGAGTAAGGCGTTCCTTACATAGGGGAAACACTTCTAAATGCTTTTGCATCCAGTTGCAGATGAGCAGAAGCAGGAATACCCAGTGTGGAACTGGCATTAAAACTCAGTAGATTTGCTGTTATCATAAACACCTTTCTTCCTTTCAAACGAAGCTGAAGATCCGAAAGTCCCAATAAACACTGAGTTATTGGTGTTTTTAATGTATGCTATAAGCCTAATGCTTCTTGTTTAAATTTACTGTCTCCAGCAGACCTGCAGACACAGATCTAACTGTTGCTTCTCAAAGGAGAAATTTCTGTCATGTTATATGTGTGACCACAGTTGTTTTAAATAAAAATGCCTTTTATGAAAGGCTTTCTCCACAAGCTAAATTTAATTCCCTATGCATTACCACCTCTAGCATATTGGTCAGCAATATTTTAGATGAGAGAAAAAAAAAAGCTTACCCAAATGAACAGGCTTCTCTCATATGAATAATTGTGGTGACCTATCCACTCATTTCTGTATGGAGAAAACATTAAAAACTATTATCAACAGCACAAGAATATGCTTAACGTAGAAAAATTATTTCAGGACAGGAACTGCAAGTTACTGTGAGATTAAGTTTTTTTCATAAAAGACAAAACATAGCTGTGATTTTTCCAAGTCCAACATGTTATTTGTCGTACTTCATGTTCTAAATTTGATATTTTTAGGGTCACGTTTGTTTTGGGGTCAATGAGCCTTAGCCACTGTACGGACTTGGACTGACTATCCAAGAGTCAAGGATGTGATAACTCCATGAATGAAATGGTAATTTATACACTTTGATCTAACTCTGCTATGAAAATACACCAGATCATGTTTGGTCCCTTGAAATTGCACGGCTGCAACGAAGAATTCACTGTCTTTCTCGGCTAGGTCTTAGTTTAGGGCTTGTTTCTCACGACCAAGAAGAAGCTGTCTGATTGATACTATTTTTCTTTAGAGGGTTGTTTGGAAGGGAGGAGAGAACTGGCACTAAGGCCTTCTAAATATAACTGCATACTAAAGTTAGTGATTTTATTTTTTTTCTTTATATGGAATTACTTTTTGGCTACTGTACCCTTTCAGATGCAGAATGCTTGTGTTATTTTTGAATCTTCTCATCTGAGAACAGTATTTCAGGCATTTTATTTCTTTTACCATTTGTGGAAGCGCACGAGACTTTGATCCTGCCACCACCCTGGGCATTTTGATAGGTGCCCACACCTTTATTTACTGCAGTCTGGATTTCTGCCATCCCTGCCAAGCCTCCCAGGCAGGCGCCGCTACCGCAAGGTGCTGTTGGAGCCAAAGCCTTGGCAGGAGAGCCCTGTGGTCTCGCCGTGACCCGAGTCGCTTTGTTCTGCTGCTGCTGCCTGTTTGCACTGTGTGGCACGTGCCTCCCTCTAGGTTTAATTCCTATTTTTAGTAGACACAAAGATACGTTTGTAACTTTGGTTGTATCCCGGTGGTTCAAAGAATGCAGCTGGGATGGTTAAAGATACTTTTTTGGCCCAGTAGTATTGATTTCTCCCAGATAGTTGGGTGCCATGGACTAAAAATAGGTAATGCACCAATGTTCAAACAGGGAAAATGTATGAATCATGAGGAGTAATACGTCGTGTAGCTGCCCTGTGGCTGCTAGAGGCAAAACCAGGCAAAGGCCAAGGTGGATTGCGATAGGAAAATACATAACTCTTAATGATGTAATTAAGACCAGCTGGCGTAACTTTGTGCATAACTATGGGCAATATAGCTTGGCAAAGGACATGTTTATTAGCCAGACTTACAAATGTACCTACTTGTGCTCAAATAAGGTGAGTCAATTGTGCTAGGGACGATTGCTATTCTGATTTAAAAGAAAGTGGAAAAAAATACTATGTAAGTAGTTAAATGACAGTCTGAAAGATTGGTTATAAAATATTAGTGAACTTGAATTATTTCCAAGTTATCCACGCGGATTTGTTCTTGTTCTGGTAAAGTTCCTTGTGCTAATTGGAGTGGACGTTGTGAAATGCTGATGCCTCTGAATCCCTTGCAAAATCTGACCTGAATCACTTGATGAGGCATCGCCACTTGAACAAGGAGAGCTTGAGTTTAGGCACCTGGTGCTTAGGGAGGAAGAGACTGACAAAGGTGAAGCCATTTTTTTAATCCAGGAGCTGGCATTTATCCCTAGCTTCACGTATGTACGCAGGAAAGGTCACTGGATGTTGCTGCTTGATTATAGAGAGGACAAAACTTGGAGTTGGAAGTGTAATACCTTCAAACCACAGTCTGCAGCTCTGCTTCTTTTGTCATTATTCTGAGGGAAATTAATTCTTGGCGCAGTCCTTTGCACACAGAAAGCTCTCTGATGTTTGAGGTTTTTAAATACTTACAAATATTAAGTTAGATTAAGTTATTTGTAAGATGTACAGCAATGCAGCAACAAAGCACACATTTGAAAATAATGGGTAAGATTTTTGGTATGCATCACACTTAGGTTACATGATGATAAATTTCCTCCAGGCCTTAATTTTTGCATCTTTTGAATCCTAATTTCCCACTGATTATTAGTAACATCTGCTATCAAGGGCATTTTCAACATATGTCAAAACAGCAGAAGACGTGGCTCCATTCCTCTGGTATTTCCTACTTCCACATACACCAGCTCACGCAGAAGTTTATCAGGACCAGCACAAGTAGGGAATGACCTCAAAATGAAGCAATGCTTCCAGAGCGGCTTACTGCTCCGTGGCGGTGCCTTTTTAAAGGCATGAGGTAAGCGCGGTGGCTTCGTCCGCGCCGCGATGCCGCGGGATGGGGCATCTCCGCAGAGGGGCAGCGGGGCCCGGCTGGATGGAACCGCGTGAGCTCCGCGTGTTCGGTCACGGGTCGAGATGGCCACGGCCTGGGCTTGTGGCCATCGGTTGTGCCCTGAGCTCCTCGGACTCTTTTCGTTCCCATGTTTAATGTTTTGATTTATATATACACAGAAAGTTACGGCAAATCACATAACTGCCTTTATAGGCTCTTCATCCTCTTCCACACGTGTCCTCTTGCCCTGCTGGATCGCTTCCAGAGGGAGCGTGGCAGCGTGCGGCTGGCGCCTCGTAATTGCTGGTACTGCATCTCTTCAGCCTAGAGGAGCGAGCCCCTCTTGGGGAACCAAAGCTCTCTTGGGGGGAAGTTGGGAGGGAGCTTTAATCTGACTTGCTGCTTTGGAAAGGCTCTTCTCCCTGCCTAGTGAATCAGCTGTGCCGTTTACCTATCACTTCATCCTTGCCAGGCTAATGGCTGCGCTTGCATACTACGTTTCTGTTCAATAAAAGGTGCATTGTTTCACTGTTTAATTATACTTTGGCTGACTTGCATATGTTTTCAAATCCTTATTTCCTAATAACTTGAAAGGTGATGGAGTTTGCCAAGGTCTCAGCTTATTTCACCTATGTTTAGCTAGAGAGTTTTCTTCTTAATCCAATTTCCTCTTTCTTTTTTTCTCCCTTTCTGTGTTCCTCCCTGCCTCCTGATACAGAGCAAAGCCCCAGGCATTCAGACCCAGGCAATTGTCCAAATCTATTTTAAATCAAAGGTTCTTCCAGCTATAGGGCAGGGGTTGTGTCCTTCCCCTGGGTCAGGAAGGGAGCCTGTGATGACACTGCAGGCCTGTCTTTCCCTCCCTGCTCAATGTGTTCAGTGTCCCCATTCAGTACTGTACAGCAGCAGGGGCTCTTCTGCAAGAGAAGTCTGTTATTTTATCCATACAGGACCAGCCAAAAGGGCTTCAGATCACAAAAGGAGATGGCAGAGGTACATTGCACCTATGAGTCTCCCCTATGTCCATAAGACCTTTTCCTCATTGGCAGCAAAGACTTAGCAAAGTGTATCTAATTTTTGTAGTGCTGACAGATAACTCTGTTATCGCCATAGCACCACATGATACCTGGCAGAGAAATGCGGAGCTGGAGGTGCCATGCAGATACAGGAGAAATCACAGCACCATGTGGACTAGAGATGTGCAAAGCCCTTCTAAGCACTAGCTTATTCTTCTATTAATACTCCATACCAAACCCATGTTCTGCCTGCAGTGGTGTAGAAAGGTAGATAGATACTTGGAACAAAATTCAGGTAGAAGCAGATATTAATGCATTGGAAACTGACACGTTTTCAGGCACAAATGTAGCATTTGGGTTGTGGGGTTTTTTTTTCCTCCTTCTCTTTCCTGAGATTTCCACGGGCTCCCTCCTGGTGCCTTCCGCAGCGGCTCCCCCGCTGCCGGCTGCGGAACGGCTGGAAGGGCGACGGCGCGGGAATGCGGCTCGGGTGCTTATCAGCGCTGCTGCTCCTGGCCACTTTTGGCCTGGAATCGGGCAGGGGGCACGTGCTGCCGTGCTGAGCACGTGCCCATAGCTGGTGGGTTCCCTGCAAAGGACCTCCAGATTCTTGCAGGCAAAATCTCTTGAGTTACAGGTTGTGTTTTAGAGGCTCTGTGCCGTGCACAGATGTTTCAAGTGTTTCTCTGTTCCTACTTGCTGTAAAAATCTGCTTGAATCCACTGGGATTAGAAAGAGTTTGGATATTCTGTCAGGAAAGAGCTAAATATCAAATGAGGATGTTGCTATGGATCGTGAGTATTTTTCTGTTAATGGATTGTGGTCTCATAAAAGACTATTTATGACAAGAACCTGATTATTTCTTGTTTCAGACTACAAAGTTCAAATTAAAATATGAAATGATTATCTATGAATGATTTTACTTCCCAAATCTGAAGTAGGAAGGAATCTGAAGCAGTACCAGAAAAGAAGGTGTTATATAAAGGATATTTCTTCTAAATTTCTAGGCCAAAATCCCTATAGCTTCCTTCTCTCTGCACTTGAGGTAGGTGGCTGCTAGGCAGAAATGAAGGTGAAGCTGGGGCTCGGTGGGAAAGCTCTCCATGTGTTTGCAGCCTGGCCCTTGGCTCACACTGTAGTCCTGGATGAGCTATTGTCTTAAGATTCAATAGCCCCAGCTGCAAAAGAGCCTCATGTGACCAGAGTCCCCAGAAGCAAAAAAGGTGCCCTTGGCAATGCCAAATGCTATTCTTTTTCCTAGGGAAAGTTTTACAGATTTGAGATTTAATTGCAAATTATGTTCCTGGGGAGATTCTAATGGTGCAGGAATATTTTGTTGCTCTATTGGTGCACATAGCTTAGTCTCATACATTCAGGCGTGGAAAATGGCAGAAATATGGTTCTTCTAGCACTGGACTAGAATAATACTGCTGTGGAGTGTGAGATAAATTGTCATTGTTTCCATAATGAACTGTGCAGAGAAATTTCTATTCTTGCAGATAACACTTTTAAAAATTATTTGTAGATAATACTCTTGATAGAAACACTGGGATTGCTTGTGCACTGTATTGCACTCATCTCTCTATTTTTTCAGCAAAGGAATATGCAGGTTAACATTCATGGATGGATATTTAAACAACACTTATTTTGTGTGTGCAGAAAACAGTGCACATGAAGGATATTCAGAAGTTGCCAAATTTACTTTCTTTTTTTGCTAATAGAATGTAAGTCAAAAATGTCAATGATCTCCAGTCCTGTCCTTGGCTGTGTTTCCCAGGCAGTCTCTTTTGCAAGCACTTCATGGCCATGCCCACCTCAGGGCCAAGGAGGAGCAGCACGAGGGTTATCCGTGTTACAAATCTCTGCCATGAGCCTGTTTGTTTGCTTTTGAAATACAATCCTGTGGTGCAGCAGCTACCGCTGTGGGAAGCATCTTGTGGCGAGTGGGTGAATGGGTGAGCATGGAGCAGAGCT